TCTCTCTCTCTCTCTCTCTCTCTCTCTCTCTCTCTCTCTCTCTCTCTCTCTCTCTCTCTCTCTCTCTCTCTCTCACACACACACACACATATGCTCGCACATGCACGCTCGTATAGGGACCTGCTGCACGAAGGTGGAAATGGAGGGAGCGCGGCAACGGACGATGTGGCGGTAACAACAACGAACCTCCCACGCTGTAGTTGATGACAACACTTCGATGGCAGCGCAGCGGGTTGAATGGTGGGGCGGAGTGTTTCAATTACGAACAGGCCTTGTTTTCCCCCCAAAACAAGGCCACACGAACCAAGAACCGGATTTAAACTACAAAGTCTACGAGCGAAAAAAAAAACCCCTACAACCTAAGACCCGTGATGTCCGACCCTGTCTGCAACTCCCCAACGGGCCTCGAAAACCCTCCCAATATTTTTTGGGGTTGCCCTGGACCCGGCGAAGTGTCCAGGCCGACCCCTTTTGTTTGTTTGTTTGATGTTGGCCACTTCCGGACCTTGACTAGACGTCCGCTCGGACAGTGTACTCTGGACAGCCCGGAATGTGGTTGGGACGTCCAGAACGTAACCATGTTTATTATACTTCATAATATTTAGCTCATACATTGTGAGAGTTGAGGCGTCTCTGCTGCTGAAACACAATTGTTCTTCGGTATGTGGTTGGGTGGTGATTTGATTGGACATTGATCAGGCTGGGAGTGAACACCCACTGGCAAAGGCCGTTGTTGCTCATGCTGCAGCGACACTCAGTGGTTGTGAAGATGCTGAGGAGGTGAAACAATACGCCAAATGGAACTTTACAGACATATCGTGGCTCTTTCCTGCAAAAGAGTTCAAGTCCCTTGCAGGGCGTGGTGTGTGTGCAGTCGTTGACAGCAAGGAAGTGCTGGTAAGTGTTTCTTCCTTTCACTTCCCTGGTGTACAATACACTAGGTGGTACCTTTCAGAACTGCTGCCGCAATCTGGCTATGGTCTCGCAAATTGTGTGAGAGTCTGAACTTCTCTGAAGTTGTTCTGTTGAAGTTCCCCTTCACTTGTTGATATGTTTTCGGTGATGCAGGTATGCATGCACAAAATGATTGATGTTGGATATGGTCGTTGATTGATTGAGGTGGATATTCCTAAATTAGAAGCCAGGACCGTAAGGACCCGTTTCAGCTATAAAAAGAAAGAGAAAAGAAAGTCATAAGACGCATAACTGAACTTGAAGTGCCTGGATCAGATACTCACAGCAGCCACAGCAAATAATCTTGTGCTCAGGTCGATGAACTCGGTGCCAAAGACAAGTAAGAGAAATAGAACCACGCTTGGAACTAACCATATTTTCCAATTTTTTTCCCCTATGCAAGTCGCGTTGTGTGTGGATATGGGGGTTCGTAACTACTGCGGAGGAGGAGGAAGGGGAGGAGATCATGCAACCATTGCTCGTGCGCCATGGCCTCTCTCTCTCTCTCTCTCTCTCTCTCTCTCTCTCTCTCTCTCTCTCTCTCTCTCTCTCT